GAAAGTGTGAATTCAACAAGACATTTCCTGGATCCCATTCCTGGCATTCATTTCCTTGAAGACAACATGAGGCAATAAACACTTTATATAGCCAGTCTTCTTTCAGAGGAACTAACCAAATCCGCTTCTCTTTCAAATAACTTTTTACTTAAAAATCATGTTTAAAGTGGCGTTATGAAACCAGCAAGCTTGGTTTCTAATAGACAAAGTGCATAAATAAATGGAAACTTTCCATCATCTCTGCTGGAGCAACATTGCTGTGCTCCAGACAACAGGTTTGTCTTTCCTCAAGCTCTTTCGATGGAGTGACACAGGGACTCAGGCATGTCTGAAGATGAGCCTCACTGATATCACAGAGTCCGACTGTCCTCCCTTTCCTGATCCACTTACTGCAAAATGAGCTGTAACCAACGAACCACTTGAGTTTCTCCAACTTTATTTCCCTTTTGTCCAAATGAGCAACCATTCAGGAGTTGCAACTGTTCGCTATACGCATTTATTTTTATAAAACAAGACCCGTACACTATAGTTTAAACCACATCCCGAGATTCGACTGAATCCATGGGTTTAGCTAACTAGTATCTATAATTAATTACCCAGTTGCTCTTGAGTTTATCTGCTGGTTTGTTAGGTTCAAGAAATCCAGAATCACTGATTTCACTGCCATGGCATCATCTGGTGCTCAGCACTTACAAGCCAGGAATCCAAAATAATCTGCAGAAAACGAGCTTGCTGCCAAATATCACAGAAAAGCATGCGCACCTTCAGAGGTCTGTGTGAGTGCACATAGCATTTAACGAGATAAAAACCTACATTCGGAGTCACAACTGGCAGAAACAGGAAGTTTCACGGGTTTAAAACTCTTGATTCCAGGCAGCAAAGAGGGAATACGACAAAGCAAGCAAACAGAAACACAAGAAGTGTTTAAACAGCAAGGGAAAACTCTGGCATCTTCTCTCAGATTAACATCACTGCTTGAGCCAGGGCCATCTGTGTTATGCTAGAAGTCTGGCACAGAAACAGAGATGTGGGGGAGATGGGCATGGAAGGAGGGGCAGACTTCAAGGGACGGAGATAAAAAAAATTTAAAAAAAAGAAACCAATACATTTTAATATCCAGGTAAGAGTCATGTGACCAGAGCAATTACTAGGTTCAACCACACGTCCCAACGTTTTCCAAAGAAAACTAACAACTAATCTGAACAATATCTCCTTGCAAGGCTTGAGGGGAAACATGCGTAAGACAGGAATGAAATCTTTCCTGGACTTGCCGATACCTGTTTGACAATGTTGTTGATTGGAACCGAGATTGTGAGCAGAGTGCGTTATTCTTGGCTCCGAGGACCAGGTTTTTAATCTTCTACCAAGCCTTCACACAATCATCTAAACCTGGGAGTATCAAGGCCGGTGACAATCTTTTAGACTGACCTAAATATTTTAGAGTGCAGAACATGATGCTTCTTGAAATATAATGGTTTAGGATTTATTAGTCGAGCTGTCCTGTGCGATATTGCGCTCACTGATAAGAGACAACAAAGCTTCAATTGAGTACTATAAACAATATCAAGAGAACTTTCTTGTACACAAGTGTCAGTATTTTAAACTATTACCATATATCATTTGTTTTTATTGTATACTTGATGCAGGCCTCCTCCATTGTTTCTTTTTTATTATTGTTGACTAAATTTGGAAGCTTAGATTACAGTTTCCTTATGCATGCTCAATAATCCAGGTAGAAAAAAAAAAGTTAAGCCTGGTCCTCTGGACATTCAAAAAACAACGATCCATCGTGAGGCTGATGGCCCCCCTTGGTCATGTGAGCAGCTGGTTTTGGTTGTCGGCAGCAAACTGGTCCATCCACTACGAGAAGGTGCTATTTATAAGACGGAGCTGAATACAGCACCTCAGACTGAAGAAGTCTTTCGGATGAAAGACTAAACGTTTCTACTTTGTTGTTGTTGTTGTTTTGTTTTTTGAATGTCCAGAGGACCAGACTTGACTTTTTTTAAACTTAGATTACAATATTTAGAGTAATAATAAGTGTTTTACTCTACTCTTTTCTTGATCGTTATTGTTGATTACTCCCAACTGTTCACTGACGTTATACAATAAATAATTTTTTGCTGCAGTCAAACCGTCATCTGCGCCACAAAAACATGCATGTAATCTGTCATTATGGTCATCTTCTGGCGCATTCGCACAGGATAACCAAAGCCTGAGATTTAACGGACATCTACAGAATCTTCCGGTTGATGTCAACGCGCTGCATTGTCACGACTGGGCCGATCCATAATAATGTGCTTAATGTGCGGGCTGGACCGGTCTCGGGCTTTTAATGTGGTTTTAAGAATCAGCACAAAGAAAACTAAAGAATGCACAATATAAAATTGTGTTAATCTATTTATTGAGGTGGAGGCAGGTTCAACCAGCCAGTTTAAGAGGTTAAAAAAAAGCCACGTTAAGCTCAGGACCCGTCACCAGCCACACACATCTGCTGACCCACTGGTTGAAATGGACTTGCGAACTGTCCAGGTGTCCCCCACCTCTCGCACAGTGATGGCTGGGCATGGGCACCAGCGACTCCCGCTACCCGAAAAGGAAGAAGCTGGTAAATATAATGAATGAATGGATGGATGGATGGATGGATGGATGGATGGATGGATGGATGGATGGATGGATGGATGGATGGATGGATGGATGGATGGATGGATGGATGGATGGACAGATGGATGGATGGATGATGGATAGACAAACAGATGGATGGATGGTTGGTTGGTAGAATGGGTGGTTGGATGGTTGGATGGATGTTAGATGGATGGTTGGATAGACAAACAGATGTATGGTTGGATGGATTGTTGGTTGGTTGGATGGATGGATGGATGTTGGATAGACAAACAGATGGGTGGTTGGATGGATGGTTGGACAGATGGATGGGTCAGCTGATCACCCGTGCGTCTCTGCACCTGCCGTCATCTGCGGTGAAATAAGTAGCAACATCTACCAAAGCCGAAGCGAGCAGCGCGTTCATATAGTCTCAAAAACGCCTCATTACATATCAGATCCTGCACATTTCTGTTCAAATCACAGAGATGTCTATTCACAATGGATTAATATCACAGGACCTCGGAGTTCAGCAAAATATAGTAGGTAATTTGCGAGGGAATTTTTACTTTACAAATTACTGACATGGCCGATTCACATGGGATTAACAACACAGACAATCTCCGTAATTATTACAAATAGCATGTGGTCCCTAGGTAAAACTAATCCCATGCGAATAGGGCTTATACATTATTTAAAAAAGATCCCTTTTAGGTCGTCCACGCAAAAACACCAGAGGTGTTTTGAGATTTTCTCACTCTGGAACCAGTTTAAATAAAAAAAATTACCAGTTTGGGTGCTTCAGCAATGTCATTTCCATATGAATGCATGGCTGAAATGATAAAGAAAACTTTTGATCATTTTTCTAAAACTGTTCTCCTGTATACAAGTCTTTAAGTAGGTTTAAAGACGCACCACATATGAGGACATTGTTTAACTTGACGTCCAGAGAAAATGACACCTGTCATTGTGTTTATAATTCAGCGTCTCATTCGTCACATTTAAATCAGCACTTATTTAAATCACGATTCAGTTTAAAGTTGCTCACCAAAGTCAGTAAAAATATTAAAGAGTTTAAAAGATTAACATCAGCTGGTGTGGAATAAAAACGCTGGACCCGGTGACATGAACCTAACGTTTTGTTTTAGTTTCATCCAGCTGTTCGTTTTCATAGAGGTGAACGAAAATTATTCTGAGTCACGCAAAGGGATAGCAGTTGACTAAAATACTAATAGTCAGACAATTACGTAGAAGTTGTGGGAGATCTAATGACTGCAGCACTTTTTCAAAGTTGACCTCTACCGAGTGTCCATTAGTGGATATTTTCATGTGCCAATAAAGAAAAAAAGAAAATGCAGTAAATTGCTTCCTGTTTCACATTTTAAATCGAAGCAACTCTGTTCGTCAAGCTGATGAAGACGTGCAAATGTTCAGCCTGAATGACGACATCCGAACAAAGCCACAAGCCTTACTCGCTCCAAAGCTGCATCATCTTTTGGGTCTTTGAATGCTCGGGTGCCTCGAATCTGTGGCGTCAACAGGTTTCATTATTTTAGATGCATCAAGCATTCTTTTGCATCAAAGGTTACTGACGCAGCATGTTTTGAGTTCCCCTGCACATTGACCGCTGCACAGTTCCCAGCAGGCCACGCAGCACACCTCAGCTGCTTCCTGTCTCTCTCGAACCTCCTGTTGCAGAGGGAGAGATGCTCAGAGTGGAACCAGTCTGCCACACAACTGGGAGAATGCATGCACGCTTCTCCAAGGCTCCACTTATCACACTGTCGACAGGGCTTTAGTTCAACAAAATAAAATCGAGTTGATAAAACAAAGTGCTTGAATTAATCCTTTACAGTTTAGCTAAATTGTGGAGAATAACAAATGCAGAGGAGGTTTACTTTCTTTGAGGGGTCAGTCATGCCTGCTATAGTCCCCGTTAAGCCTCCTGGGAGACGGAGGGGGAAGAGAAATAATCCCCGTTGCCGTCTCCAAAGGACGGAAATAATTAGTTAATACCTTTGAACAGTCTTGTGCTTGTGATTTTCCTATCTGTGTAATGCAAGAAAGTATAATTTCGATGTCAATTTACAAACCTGTGACACTTTTTTCTGTGATCCATCTAATAAGATGTTTTGAACCTATATGGACAACTGACTTCTCCCTAAAGACAACTTTATTCTGCTACTGTGATTAACAGTTGCATTAACATTAATCAGTGGATTATTGTGCGTTTATAGTATATATAATGCTTGTATTTAAACACTTTCTTGTATCCCCGTAGTTTAAAATGCAGAAATATTTACCCCTTCCTGATTCGATAACAGCCACTTTGTTTGCTCTTATATAAAGCAGATGAAGAGAGCTTGAGAATGAGATGCAAATGTGTTTTTTTTTTTTACCTGCAGTTCACACCAGGCCACCTCCACCCAAGTATCTGTATCCAGGCCCTTGTAGACCGTTTTAAAGGAACCCCTGCCGAGCTCGATGTCAAATTTAAGGAAGCGTCCTCCTGGAGATGTGGACACTGCCTTCATCTCAGCTTCCTCTTCGTTCTCCTCACTGGCTGCCTTGACAGCAACTTTCCCCACATCACTGCAAGTCACATTCAAAGCCTGTCCACCTCTCTCCCGGTCCTCATCGGCGCTGGTGCTCTCTGTCGCGCTGTCCTTCTGCCCACATTGACTTTCTGTGCTGGAACTCTCTTGTATTCCACAGCCCGTCCCCAGAGTCCTGTCCACTATTGTTCTCAAGTTAATGTTCAGGATTTTACTCGTGCTGCAGTCACTTTCAGGCATTTCAAACGTCTGCTCATCCACGTCTGAGAACCACAGGCTTTTCCTGATGAACCTTTGGTGCACGGTCTTCTGATAGACGGAAGAAGTGCTGGGATCACTGCCACCTCTCACTACAGAGTCTCTCCCATCACCCACGTTATTTACCACCAGAGAACTGGGCACAGAGGAGAACTTGGGCTCCTGGGGGGGCTCAGAGTTCGCATTTGCCTCCATCATGCTTTTTAATAACGATTTTTAAAAAGTCCCTTCACTTTGGCTTCCAGGTGGTTGGTGTCATCATGGCTTCCAGTTCTCCTAAACGCAGCTTTACAGATGAATACCTGCAGCACCCACCCGGTGACGCAGTTTGTCAGCAGAGGCCTTGAACGCAGCACGGAGATGCACGACACGGGCGAGACTTCATCAGATAGAAAAGCTGCAAAACAAATTCTGCCCGTCAGTGAAACAAAAAACAAATTCAACCATTCATCATGTGCGAGGCAACACCGGAGCTCTGCAGTGGCTTTAAGCGCCTCTGCAACCACGTAAGAAGTTAAACTGCTCAACAAAACCCAGGTGGGACACTGAAGACCAGCTCCATCTTCGTTCAGGTGAACATCAGCCAAGCGGACGACCCGCGAACAATTAGTGGTTAAACACAACAATTACACTAAACTATAAAACGAGGCCATGCTTACCTTTAAGGAAAGCGCAGAAAGGACGCTCAGCACGGATGAAACGAACGTGTCAGCGAGTCCACGACAAAAATGTGGAGTTTTAAAAACGCCCTATCTGCTGATTATTCCACGCATTCTCCACGCGCAGGAGCGACACGCCGCAGATACAGCTCCAGCTTTGCTAACTCAACAACATACTGGCAAATAAAGTGGCAACATTAACGATATTCATCTCGTGTCAAATCCTCGCATCCCTCCCGTTTCTTGTAGACCTCACGTCTCTCCACGCTGAGTGTTCCTCTTCGTTGGTGCTGTAGCTAACAGCACGCGCGTCGCTTAAAAAAACAACAACACGGGGTTTTCTAGATTCGCTATCGTCCACTGTCCGTGTAAAACTTAAACAGACATCGGTGATCGCTTGTCATCGTCTCTCTGTCTCAATATTGGGGAGGTGAGGCGCTCAAATGTGTTTCTCATTCAGTTAGCGGGGATCCACGCCCCTGGTAACCACGCGAGGACTGTCCAATCACACCGCACGCGGGGACAACCGCGGAGAGACGATGAGTATGGCAGGCCGGTTAATCACATAATCAAACGGCACACCTGGAATTAACTATTCATTCAACCTTTATTTAGACAGGTAAATCCCATTGAGCCTCGAGGACTCGTTTACAAGAGAGACCTGATTTCAACAAAGAATGATGACAACAATGGACAACAGCGACAACAATAAACAATTATAAAAAGTAATACTGCAGGGTTTTGGTTTTTTTTTGTTTTTTTTTTTACAAATAGGATGGCTAAAAGAAAAAGGTAACAAAAAACAGCTAGATTCTAAGGCGAATGTAGAAAACTAAAAACAGGAACATGTCTGCATTGGTCCCTGCCAGGAGTCCAACAGATTCTTAAAGCCACTTAGAGAGGTCAAGGTCGAGAGCTTCAAATCTTTTTGTAAGATATTCCAGGAAACAGGAGCGGAGTAGGAGAAGGCCCTTTTGCCAAGTTCAGTCCTCATTGAGGGAACACTGCAGGTAATAATATCCTGAGAGCGCACGCTGTAGCTGCACTCACGCAGAGACATGTAGGAGGAGATGTATGAAGGCAGCAGACCAAGAAGTGATTTAAAGATGAAAATATACCAGTGAGAGAGTCTGTGTCAAGTTAATGATGTCCAGTTAACCAGTGAGTACAGGGTGCAGTGGTGGGTACGATAATCACAGCCAGTTATGATTTTTAGTGCACCATGATAGACAGCATCCAACATCTGCAGGGTTCTTGTAGGAGCGTTCATGTAAATAATGTCACCGTAATCAATGGAGGGAAGGAAAGTCACAGATACAAGGCATGTTCTAGCATTCAGGGTTAGACAGGATCTGTTTCTGAAAAAGAAACCCAGTTTAACTTTCAGTTTCTTTACCAAGTTTTCCACATGGAGCTTAAAAGAGAGATGTGAGTCGACCAAGATACCCAAATATTTATAGGAATCAACAAACTCAATGGGGACACCATTTGAGGATAAAATCGGAGGAAGAACTGCTGGGACCAACTTTCTATTTGAAAAAAGCATCCCTTTGGTTTTGTCGGCATTTAGGACAAGTTGAGGTGGAACAAATCGGTCTGGATGATGTTGAATGCAGATTTTAAAAGCTGGAAAGCCTTAGCAACAGTTTTAGCTCGACAATAAACAACTGTGTCATCAGCATAGAAATGTATGGATGCATTAGGGATGTTTTTACCTACATTATGTATGTAGATTGTAAAGAGGGTGGGTCCTAAGACTGAGCCTTGTGGTACACCATTGTTGACTGTTAAATAACTGGAGGAAGTACCATTATGTTGAACACATTGCCTCTGGTCTGAGAGTTAGAGAACCAACCAATGGTGTGTTCTGAGAAACCGATTTCTGAGAGTTTATGACACAAGATGTTATGATCCACAGTGTCAAAAGCTTTAGACACGTCTAAGAAAAGTGCAGCACAATAATCCTTAGCATCCAGTGCTTCAACAACGTCGTTAAGAACCTTCAGTGAAGCAGTGGTTGTGCTGTGTTGTTTCCTGAAACCAGATTGATGTGGAGGTAAGATGTTAAATGAGTCCAGGTAATTTTTGATTTGAGAGTTTATCAGTTTTTCTAGAATCTTGGCTAAAATACAGAGTTTAGAGATTGGTCGATAGTTGTTCAGTGAGGTGGGGTCACCTCCCTTCAGCAAAGGAAGAACAAAGGCAGTTTTCCAAGCGTCTGGGATGGAGTTTTGTCTTATGGAGAGAGAAAAAGGACAACTCCATACAGTAGAGAGTCATTTATGGATAGAAGATTTGGAGAAGAAGCCAAAATGGAGACAGGACAACACTGTCAACAGAGAAAATGAAGAGATAAAGGCCGAGGACGAGTGCACGTGGTCGTACCTGGAGGAATGTTTCATGTCCAGAGGGTGAAAAGGAGACAACGTCCAGATGCAAACATTGTTTGATCTCTACGGTGATAGCAGCTTACAAGACTTCAGCATCTAATCTTAAAAAACATATTGCAGTATACGAGGTTTTACATCTACTAGTATGATATTGTTTTTTTATTGTTTGTATGTGTGGGTTATTAGTTTGGCTAAGTATGCAAAGATCTTAGATATTGTCACTGTCATCGGTTTAACTGGTACTAAAATAAGACGGAGCGTCTGAGAAATGTGCTTTGAATGTAGCGATTATATTTATATTTATTATATACATTAAATTAAACTGAATGACTTCTATTGACAACACAATAAAACATCAACTGGTTAAAAAGTAATTAATACTCTGAGTAGTTTTTAAGAAGCGTGCTTTGTTTTACTCGAGTATTATATAACACCAGTATTTTTACTTGTAATTGAGTACAATTTAAGCAGCGTATCAGTACTTGTACTGGAGTACACATTTTCACTACTCTTTCCACCTCTGAGCACAGCTAAGGAAGCTTTTCATGCCAACATTTCAAATCCATAGTATCTGCATTTTCTGTTATAATTTTCTAAATAAAATGTATACATCATTAAATGATTGTCTGAGGAGTAGTGCAGGGTTTTTGTAAAAAAAAAAACTGCGTTAGAAAGCAGGTAATATTTTTCACCTTTGTTCACAACTAAATTCACCAAGCAGAAGGTCTTGCATAAGGTCTAGCCCAGGGTTATTCTACTAAACTGCTCAGGGGCCACAGTTTCTGACAGCCAGCGACTCAGGGGCCGGACATCCAGCGACTAAAGTCATTATGTAAATAAACCAAGTATTACACAGATCTGTTACCTTTAAAAGTGGTTTATTTTGTTGCATTGAATCATAAATGCAATAAACAAAACCCAAAACCAGACCCCCCCACTCCCCTGCCATATATCTATATTTTTTATTTTATTTTATTTTATTTTAATGAACTTATTAGTGGGCCGGACTGATGTCACCCGCGGACCACTTCTGGCCCATGGGCCACCATTTGAATATCCCTGGTCTAGCCCCAACTTTTGCTTAAATGTTTTCCACTGCCCAGTTTTCTCCCCCAAAATGACTATTGCTGTTGACTCTTGTCCTTACAACTTTTAGTGGTCATTTATTTTCAAAATAAGACAGAAGGCTTAAGCCAGTGGTGTAGTCTACATTTTGTAGTGGGTATACTGCGGTAAAGTTAGTTTTACGTTGGACGTTGGACACCATTGAAGCCACAGAGTGCGACTGTCCAACGTAAAACTAACTTTACAGCTGTCGGTCCGTATACTGTGCTTAGAAACCAAAGTATACCAGTTAGTACAATGTCATCGTCAATTTATTTTGATTTTTAAGCGTATTGAACATTTCCAAATTTCTCTGATGCTTACAATAAATGTACAACAAACTTTGTACAACAGTTGGCTTTGTATTATACAATACAATACAATACAATACAACTTTGTTTATAAAGCACTTTAAAACAACACTGTTGGCCAAAGTGCTGTACACTAACACATACAAGCATAAAAACTATAAACTCAACAGATACCATAAAAGTAATGAACTACCAAATCACAAAACAGCAAACAGTAAACACAATAAAACAATTAACTTAAAAACAGTAAAACCAACATTTCAAGCTGAGTTATTAAAAACATGTTATAGAATTTATAAAACAGTATCAAAGCAAAACATGTTCAACTATTAAGTAGTAAGTACAGAAGTATTAATTAAACAATAATTTGCTGGATAAGCAAATGTAATAAACAAGAGCTGCATACAAATAGATTGTTACAGAAGCGTTTAACTGCCTCTTAACATATCAATGACACGTGCCTAGATTTATCATTGGGCACTTTAAGTAGGTATACTGAAATTCTTAAGCTTTTTTAGTGGGTATACTCCATATACCCACGTATCACGTAGACTACACCACTGGTTTAACCTTTTCATTTTGGACCAAGTGTCTCTGATTCCATTGTTCCCCTCTGGCACTTTTTGACATCCTGGGATTATTTCAATGACTCAATATCTGTCGTGCATCCGAGAAAGCCATAAGTGTATTACTCATCACTGTTCAAATGTAAACAAATGACTCATATTTGT